TTGCAGTGAATTGGTGCTTATACTTGATATTGCAGTATTTGCATCTTTTAATGCTTGTGCTAGCTGTTTCTTTGGAACAAGCTTCAATGCAGGCAGCCTTATTCTGTTGTTTTTGTGCTGTTCTAGATGCTCAGTTATTCTTTGTTTCAATTCTTTTATTTCTTTAGTTAGAGGGTTTTGTTCTTCCTGAGGAAGAGGTACCTGGTTTCCAAATGAGAACAGTTGTATATCTCTGGTGGATTCCTTCACTGCCAACTCCCCCTGGTTTGCCTCTACATTCTGAATTACTTCTGGCAAGGCTTTGATTTCTTTGCCCTGGGTAAACCTTTGCAGTTTATCCAATTCTGTTTCTGTGAATACTTTATTTTGTATTATACATCGGCGTTGATCTGCTATAGTCTGTTCTGTTATTTCTGATTCTGGATGTTGTTCTTTCCAGAATGGTGCATTCGTTTTAGATTTCCTCTTCTTGTTGGACTTGATCTGTAATAACAGATCATTATTTCTTTGTTTTGAATCACTGTGTATTTGCGACGGGTAAACACCTTTTCTTCCAGTAGTTCTGCAGCTGCTGGCCCTGGTTGCTCAGCCAACAGTCCTGAGTCCTATAACCCATTTTTCACCAGATATCCAGGAACTCCAACATCTAGCGCGGACCTTGTTAACCCGGGCGACATCCGAGCCGGTATGGCTTTCTGAAATTTACGTCTCAGCATATTTTTTATGGGAGAAACACTCTTTGTCTGACTCCTGATGAGACCTGTCCAGTATGGTTGAACCTCTGGCATAGCTCTCATCTTCCTCAGAGTACACAAGCCCCACAATCACGTCAAGGTAGTGCCTAATTGGGGGATGATGGTGATGATTGTTGTTGTTGTTATATTATTATTATTATTATTATTATTATTATTATTATTATTATTATTATTATTATTATTATTATTATTATTATTATCTCTAATAAAACTATACCTTTCTCAACAAATGGAGCCAAGGATTATTTCTGTCGAGAGGCTCAGGTTGTGGGCGATCTGACATCACGTATGATTGAGGCAAAATGAAAAAAGCTGATTTCTGCCATACATAAAAATCAGATAACTCTTAGAGTTATGATCAGTTGCTATTTGATATGAGTTGAAAGTAGGATTAGGTATCACAAATACACAAATCTGATTGGCTTTCTATTGATGTCATAAAAAAACAAAATAGCATTTTTTTTATAGCTAAGCAAATCTGGAGACACTGTTATCACTATTTCACATATATGCAGTGTATATGGGGAAAGACTGAGCAACTGTATTTCTGCTCCACAAATACTTTCATGCCTTTGCATTGTGTATGAGAATTCAAAAACTGCATTTTGTATATGAAATTAAGCATGAATGCAGTAAGAACAGTGAAATGCTCTAAATATGAATATTACATTTGTATATTGAATCATTAATATTCCTACCTGTCTCCATCCTTATATGTGGATTAATATTCATTTTCCTTTTTTAATCTCTATTGCTATTTTATTCAAATACTTTGAATGTTATTTTAACAGAGAATATTTTCTAAACTTTTCTAAATTTATTCCAGGGCAGCTTCTGGTCATATCACGGAGAGGCAGACATCATGTGACCTAGTAGCTGTTGGTAAAAAACCTCAAAGTTTTCATCCTGTTTTTGAACATATAAAATCTGTGACGCAGAAGGTAGAACAAAACCCATCAAAAGAATTTGCTCAGGAAATCATCACAATTATCCACCAAGTTAAAGGTGGTTACAGAAAGTTAAAAACATCTTGTTTCCATGTGATATCATCACTGTCTAGTAATCAAAATATTTTGTATGTCATTAATCCAGGTAAACCAAGATATGTGAAATGTTGCAGCTGTTTAATAAAGTAGTATGAGATTATTACCAAAAATCCAAGAAAGACTATTTCACTTTTTAAATTAGAGGTGCTGGGATTTTTTTAACAACTGAAGTTCAGATATAATGGCTTTGTACATGCATATATAGATCAAATTAATACTTTAAAAAACACCACTGAGCACAGAATGGGCACAGAAGTGTAATACACACACAAATTTTTAATTTGAGATAATTTTAACTAAAGTGTATATCAATTTGATCTTTCTGCACTTGGCTGCCTAAACGGTAAAAGTTATATAGGCCCCTTGAGATGAAAGGATTATTGAGTAGATTTTGAAGGCTATATTGAAATAAAATAAGAGCATGCTGTATGTTACCATTACAAATTTATGAAGGAATATATGGCTTTAAAGTTTACAAGGGTTAAGACAGTGATGACGAACCTTTTAGACACCGAGTGCCCCAAAACCCTCCGCCCACCCCTGCTCCACCACTTGCTCCCCGCCTGCCCCCAGGGCCACCTACCGCCTCCATGGCCCGCTGCAGCAAATCAGGCGGCCCTGCAGCACCATGGCCATGCCCTCTACCGGTGCCCCGCAGCACCATCTGCGCGACAGGGCGCGAGGGCGGAGTCTTGTCCCTGCTGCCTGGCTGCCATGTCCTTGGCTGTGTCCCCGGCCACGCCCGGGGTGACTTCTCCAGGGAGGCTGCTGGTGAGGGGGAGGAGGGGGGCGGGACTGGGGCGACAGTGCGTGTGCCCACAGAGAGGACTCTGCGTGCTGCCTCTGGCACACGTGCCATAGCTTCGCCACCACTGGGTTAAGATATTACAATCTTCAGGGTGGAGATTTCAGTTGCTAACCATGATATTGCTGCTTGTCGAATTAGCTTTTTTTCTTCATTGTCTTCACAGCAAATTATTTTAAATCTTCTGACCTTACTTTAAATGAGCGCTTCTCAAAAATACAAGATATATCAGGGGCAAATGAAGTTAAAAGATATTTGGATCCAGAGATTCACAGGTAAGGTAAACTTATTCAACCCATAAAATTTATTTTGGTTGATTAAATAAATAATTCTGCAAAATTAAGATATATCCAGCATATGGTATCTGCCTTTTCCACTATGAACATTTTCTGGCTCTTCCCAATTATTTCTATGATCTAATTATATCCTACCCTTTTTATTCATATTCAGAATGGTCTAAATGCATTCCTGCATCATGACCAACATGGACCCAGAGATTTTAAAAAACTAAAGTAGACTCCCAGCAAGATGTATTATTCAAGTATATTTTGTGTAATTTAGTATCTGATGTAGTTACATTTTTTCCATATAATTTATTGATACTAATTTGCTTGGTCATTATATTAGGAGAATTGATATGTCTCTGGCAGAACTTCAGAACAAACGAGCTATTTCGGGTGAGTCTGGACAGGTATGTATATTTATCTCCTAGTGAAAAAAACAAATTTTCAGCAGTGGGATAAAGTGTCTTATTTTAATGAATCCATAGAATGTTTGTTTATTCAGCATGTAACCCTACCTTACTGAAACAATGCTGTATCTTTATTTTTTATTGAAATGCATTTCTTATTCCAATTGCCTCCCAAAGAGCTGAAATGGATGTAATTCTTTCTTCAAACATATGAGGTGTCAAGGTTCCTACTAATGAAACACTTCAAAGAACTTCCAGGCATTGTTTATCCTAAGAAGTCTTTATTCATGTAACAACGTGTCAGCAGGCGTGGATGGATGCCAAGATCTAAATTCCCCTCCCTTGATCACATAATATTCCAGCCTATTCCCTCCTCTTTTTTACAGTCATAAATCACGTTCTCCAATCAGTTTGAAGGCCAAAGGTTTTCTTCCGTGTTTTGCAGACTTCCGCCAATTCCTTATCTCACTAATCCCCCACACACATTCTTTCTCTTCCCCTCCCAGCATCAATTAAGTTAACTCTAAAAATACCACACAGCTCTGCATATTTTGTCAGAGCAAGAACATCCAATGTTAGCAGCACTGACGTGAGGTAGATTTGGCTGAGAATTTCAAGTTCACTAAACTGATTTTAATAGTTGAATGAGAATTTTTTTACTGCACTAACTCTAATGTATAATGTCCTGTTAGGGGCCCTATTACCTGATTGCATTGTTAATTTCAGTGTAATTATTATGACAATTCTTGTTTTTGTGTTTTTATGGTTTTAATTGTATATCGTTCGCTGCTCAGTCAATTGGTTTGAGATATAGAAATTGAATAAATAAATATTCATTTCTGTGAAATATAACACTTTTTGCTTTATTTTATTCTAATACTGGTCTTATATTAAAGTTAGGTGAAAATAAAAATAAAAACTTTAATTCAGTAATCCATTTATTATATTTTTAGAATGTTGTGAGAGTTCTAGAGGATCCAAATGATTTAAGACATGACATAGAGAGGCGAAGAAAACAGAGACTGGAGAATGAAGATGAAGATATATTTTACATTAATATCCCACAAAGGTAGATGTTCTCAAAAGAAATAATCGTTGGAATTGAAATACGATAGTCACACTATTACATTCTAATGCTATTTTCATGATGTGCATCTTGAACTTACTTTTTCTTTTCCCTTTGCAGTCTTACATGAAATATCATAATCCACACAAAAATGCGTAGTATTCCTTTGTTTTCTACCCTATTACTAGAAGATACTGTAATTTGAATTAATGTTGATCTTAGTATCAGCTTTTTACTATTCTTTTCCTTCCCCTGATACCCTCACTATAATAAGTTGTATTAGCATGATATAGTTTGGACTATGGATTATAAATGAACTAGTTTGGTTGTAAAATATCTGATGTACTATATTGAGAATTGAGGAAGAAAATGCAATCAGATTAATTGTGTACAAAACTATGTAGTCAATCTGTTCTTTCATATCTGGTTTGAAATACTTGTTTCCCACCTACATAATCAGATGATTTTTTTTTATTTTGGCAGCATGAATAAACTTTGAGATAGCAGTCACAGAGTAGAACCCATCATGTTTCGATTTAGTTTTTTTCCAAAGACAGTGCCCATTTATTTTTGATACTCCTTTTCCTCTGTGAAAAAACATTTTTCCCAGCTCTTCAAAACTAGTTCATTTTTCATTAGACATTTTTGCTTCCACCTTTCAGGAGATACTTGGTTTTATTTAGACCTCAGCCATATAATAATGCGAATGCAAGCAACTGAGATAGGATACTGTCTTATATCCTTCTAAACTTTTTCCTTCATTTACCAAACAAAGATTCATGTTACTTTTCAGTACATTTTAGTTGAAATGAAATGTTGTAAATTTCTATTTATTTATCATATTTATATTGATAAATATAAATTTCAGAAGTTTCTTCTGAAACTTCTTTAGCTCCATTGTATCCTCTTTGGGATGTGATGACCAAAGCTGCACACAATAGCCCAGGTGTGATAGCACCAATGGTTTATATAACGGCATTATGGTATTGGCACCTCAACTTTCAGTACTGCTTTTTATTATCTCTAAAATGCTGTTGGTTTGTTTTATAGCAGATGTTATAGCAACGCCTTCAATAAGCTGTTTACACCCAAGATCTGTTTCCTCATTACAGGTAGTCCTTGACCTACAACTACAAATTTTGGTTGCTAAGTGATGCTCTCATAAAATGTGACCGCTTTGCTTAGCAATGGCAACCCAGGCAATTGCCACTGATAAGTGAATGCTCCAGTCTTAGGTGAGGCAACTTCATGCTAGCTTCCCACAATCAGGTCATTGGGGAAGCTGGCTGGAAGTTGCAGACCTCAGGCCCTACTGGCTTGGGGAGGAAGCAACAGTGTGGCTGGGGTTATTACAGAGAGTGCGCGAGGGCATTGGAACTGTTTGGATTTTCAGCTCCAAAGTCAAGAGGTTCTCAAGTCTTTCCATCCTAAGGTTGAATATCCTCTATGGCTGAAAATTCTACTTGGATTTTGGCATGGGATATTTTCAGCCAACCTCCAGAGTGGAAAGGACTTCCTCTTGTTTCTGGGTACTGGCTAAAAAAGCTCCTAAATCTATCAAAATCCAATCAGGAATCTGTGTAGAAATCAAAGTATACATGCAGAAATCTGCTGCACACATACAAGTCGCTCCACATGCCAAGAGGACTCCCTCTCATCGTTGCAGGTTGGCTGACAAACTCCATGCCAAAATCCAAGCCTCAGTGCAGAAATCCAAACTGCTGCTGCCTCCCTCTTGTTTCTAGAGGCTGGCTGAACACATTCCATGCCAAAATCATTCTTGGATTTTGGCATGGAGCTTTTTCAGCCAGCTACCAGAGATGAGAGAAAGTTCCCAGAAGGCAGCAGTGGTTTGTGATCTTTCCTGCTGGTTTCTCCATTGACTTTCTGGGAAAGCTGGCAAGGAAGATTGCAAATGGAAATCATATTATTGCAGGGCACTTGGCAACCAGTCATAAGGGCAAATAGTTTGCCAAGTCCCAAGTTGCAATTGTGCAACCACAGGAATGAAGCAGTAGCCATAACTTTAGGAAGTGGACATAAGTCCTTTCACTAAGCAACATTGTAACTTTGAATGGTAGCTGAATGGTCATAACTCTACCATTAGTCACGGTTACAATTAATCTCATTCATTTATATAAGTAGTTAGAAATGTTTGCACTAGTGTGCATAACTTTACATTGAATGATATCCTACACATTGACATCCATTTCTCTAAATGTATAGAAATCCCTTTGAAACTCTTTCAAGTCCTTTATTGTTTTTATGACTCTTCACAGTTTAGGGTCATAAGCAAACATGGCTATTTCACTTCTCATGCCTGAATCCAGGCAATTTATAAATAGGTTAAAAAGCATCAGCTAGACATAACCCTAGGGAACCCCCTAGCTCAGACATGTTAAACACAAGGCCCACGGACCAGATCCAGCCCGCAGAGAGCCCAGATTTGGCCCCAGGGGCTGTCCCAGAAATGGCAAGAGATTGGCCCCCACTGCCCCAGCCCTGGCCCACCTCAACGCGGTTGGGTGCCCTCTGGTGCACACACATGAAACGGTGAGCGCTCGGGGGTTGGTGGTGTGCAGCAGAAGCTGCAGCTCATTTGCCTCACCCCGCCCCTTCCAGCCTAACCCCGTCACACCCCGCTTTGCCAGGTCTCCTCATCCGGCTCTGCCGGGCTGCACTTGTCCTCACTTGGGCCATGGCGTTCTGTAAGCCTAGCGCCCCAGGGCATGCCCAGCCTGTGGGATGAAAGGTCCGGAGAACGGAGCACACGGTGGCACAAGCCAACCGTTGGCCGGCTCCCGGTCGCCCTCTCCGCCATGTGGTAGGGCTGGAGAGGGGAACGCAGCACTCATGCCAGATGCAGAGCCGCCGCCTGGAATTTTCTCCCCTTTTCTCCCCCCCCTTTTTTTTAACCTCTTCCCACTCCATTCAATGCAGCTGGAGGAAAAGAGCGAGAAGGGGGAGAAAGCAGGGAGAGGCTGTGTTTGTGTGTGTGTGTGTGTGTGTGTGTGTGTGAGAGAGAGAGAGAGAGAGAGAGAGAGAGATTGAGCCATCAGGGAAGCAAAAGTGTGAGGAATGGGGAGCGTTGCAAACAGAGTAAGCAAACTTACAAAAAGGGGATCTCTCTCACACACACACACACACACACAAACACACACACACGTGCTGCATCGGGGTGGTGTGCAGGCAGGTGAGAGCAAACTCACAGTTTGGCTTTGTGGTCTATTCTTGCTGCCTCCCCTCCCTAAAATCCAGCCGATAATAGAACTCTTTGGATTGAATGGGACATTAAGAGGAATTGGCATGAGTTGAAATTAAAAGGCCGAGTCAACTGCCCCCCCCCCAATTATTTTATCGGAGACAAGGAAAGTGTTTCTTGCTTCTACTTTCTCTCATCTGCTCTTTTATAATTTAATCCAGCCTTACCCAAACTAATGTCTTTTGGGTGTCATGGACCACAGTTCCCACCAATGCGATGATAAAAGCCCAGACCAGCACAATACCATTGAGAAAGAAAAACAAGAAATTCAAGAAGAAACCAGCATGGCTGCACAAAGATCTCTCTGACAAACTGAAAGACAAAAAGGACAAATACAAAAAAATGGAAATGGGGGCACATAATTAAGACCAATTATCAACAGATAGCCAGAATATGCAAAGATGAAGTCAGGAAAACAAAGGCTCAGAACAAACAAAGACTTGCAACAGAAATCAAGGATAATAAAAAAAGTTTCTTCCAACATATTAACAAGAAGAAAAAAGTCAAGGAAACTGTAGGCCCACTAAAGACAGAAGATGGCAAGGTAATAACAGGCAACAGGGAGAAAGCAGAGCTGCTTAACATACTTTGCATCAGTCTTCACACAAGAAGAAACCATAGCCCAACATACCGTAAAAAACCACTGCAAAAGACATACTAGAAACAAAAATTAAAATAAGCAGGAAAATGGTAAGAGAACACCTATCCGACCTTGACGAAGTTAAATCACCAGGACCCGACAAATTACATCCCAGAGTTCTGAAAGAGCTGACAGGTGTTATCTCAGAACCATTGTACCACATCTTTCATAAATCCCAGGAAACTACAGACCAATTAGTTTAATATGAATACCTGGGAAGATCCTAGAAAAGATAATCAAAAACATCTGCAAACAACTAGAAGCAAACAAAGTTATAACCAGTAGCGGACTTTCGGTTTGCCATCATGGCGCCGCAGATGCTGGAAGACGAGCTCCGTCTTTTGCGTCCAATTTCGTCCCGCTGGGGGACCCTGGAAAGAGTCGAAAGTCACCCTGTAGGGGCGACGAACAAGGAGGGGACCCCTGCTTGATCGCGGGAGGGCGGCGGCCCTTCCGTTGGATCTGGGGAAGCCCTCCAAACTGGTGGGGGAAAGACCGGCCATAGCAATATGGCTCGTCATTCAGCTGCTGACAGCCGAAGTCAAAATTACCACCAAGCACCTTTAAAGCAACACGGATGAAACTGGGTGAGATTTGATCTTCTCTTTAAGACTTTAAGTATTTTTTCCTGTAAAAGCTGCCCAAAGTATTTTCCCCATGTGAGGAGAGAAGGAAGGGAATTTCTACCCCACACTCTAAGAACAGCAGCAACTAACTACCTAGGGGAAACAGGAACTATAAGAACAATTTTAATCTAATTGGATGTATATGCTTTTGAAACTTGGGGACTAAAAGTGTTCCTATTCTTACTGGAGATGTTTGTTTTTATCTAAAAAAAGAAATAAAACTTGAAAAACTATCATAAAAACTTTGGACTTAAAAAGCTTTAAACGGCATTGGTGACATCTTGTGGTGAAGTATAGTATTACAACTTGTTATTGCCTAAAAGAGACTTGGCTTGAAGCCCAGACTCCAGAAAAAACTTCTTTGACCTTGACAGCTACCAGATCTTGACTACAACCAAAAAACTAACAATGCAGAAAATAACAGGAGAAGTGGAACAACTAAACACCAAGACAGAGGACTCAAATGACCAACAGA